GGACTTCTCAATGGCACATTTACAAACACCATTTTTTCAGAATGATGTTATAAGTATTTACTCAAAAAAAAGTTTCCACGTCAGAGCAAGTTCTTCTAACAGTTGGATTAATCTACATAATCCTACCTCTGTCATGAAATAGAGTTTATTCTATACCCATGTTAGCAAGCATTGAGATAATGCAAAGTAGACTTTCTGTTTTCCCTGTCATCCTTTGATTTATTCTCCCATAATGTGTAACACACATGAATCAGAGGAAGATATGGGGAGATAATGCCCAGATAGACACATGGCAGTTTTTCAAGAAGAAACAGCACCTCAGTTAATCCTCCAAAAAGCACCAGTTATATCAAAAAACACAACAGAAGAGTTTTCCTAATCTTGTAAGCTAGCTCACGTGATGGCATAATTTTTTCACAAATGATTCAGTCTTATAAATGATCAAAAACCCAATGTTGATACATTCTGATCAGCTTTTTTTAAAAACAAAAACATTCCTACGTGTTTCCTGATCATGATGACAATGAGTTATATTGTACATAGAAATCTCCCAAGTGTCTCCAAAGTCATAATGAGAAAATTATTTAAAATATGTATGTATACATGTATATGTATGTGCATATACATGTACACATATGTATACACACAAATATATAAATATTGAAAGATTTTGCTATTTTAACCAGATATCTAAAATGTTATCAAGACTAGTTTGGAATAAAAGTGATTGCATGTGCATTGCAACATGTTTGTGTGAAATTTGATTTTTCTCCCTGAAAACTAGATCCAGTGAAACAAGCTGGAAATACATTCATCTGTTTCTCCCATTTTAACAGACTGGTACATGGCCTGGCAGTTATGGCTTTGAATTTAAAAACGTTCTTCCTCAGCATGAGGTCCTCATCTTAGAATTTTTATAGTTGGATGAACTTGAATTTTAGCAAATTTCAGACCTGGAAAGAAATGCCAAAGCAGCTTACCATATATGGTTCAGAAAGCTGTTGCTAAAAGTGGGGAGGCATCTTTTTAATACATCTTCCCAAAATAAGTATTTAATTTCAAATTGTTACAAGGTGCAGAATCATTTCCAGCTGTCTTGACTGAAATGCATCAATGTATAAGATGTTAATGCAATATATACTAAGTACACTATATCCACCTCACTAAAAAATACAAGGTCACTGTGTTTAGAGTCAGGTACTAGTGAGTGTTGGTCCTTTTACGGAAGTGAACTTGTTTCTGCTCGTCTTGGGGGGGGGTGACTGCTCTCCAGGTGCTGCTCTAGGTTCACGGAGTGCCAGCCAGCCAAATAACGTGCTAGCAAGAGGTACCCAGTGAACTCTGGAAAGCTCACTAAGGGGGAAAACTCGCTTTGGCCTCCTTAGGATTATGGGATAAGGCCAGGAGATAGCTCTGGCAGTTGCAGGAAGAGGAAATTCATAGGAAGTGGTCATATCTGCTATTAATTTTTTCCTTTCTTTAAACATATCCAGTGCTCTTTCAAATTGGGTTTTAAAAACAATACAGAAAATCCCTTGATAACAAGAAAAAAGGGAAGGAGGGGCACAAGTACCCACAGGAATAGTTCCTTCTGGTCTTTTTTCATTATTTTCTAAGGTTGAGCTTGGCTGCCTATTCACATTCTCTTGGCCCTTCTCCTTTTAGTGTGGCTTCAGCTGGACAGTTCTGCTGAAGTTGCTTTCATGTTTTCACGTTCTTGTCCTCATGTTAGCCATATTTGATAGTGTTGATCTCCTTGCCTCTGCAAAATTTCTGCCATTAGCTCTGGCAGCCGCTAATTTCACGGTACTTTGATCTTTCTGCTCAGCCACCTCTCCTTCTCAGATCCCTTGCTTTGCTCTTGGTCTTCTTGTGTGGATGTAACAATAATGGCTGGCATTCCTTACATGTTTCTAGTGCCAGGCACTGGGTGAAGTAACTTAAAAGTACATGTCATTTTGTCTCTAACAATTTGAACTCTTGTGATCCTCATTTTACAGATAGGGTAACTGAGGCATCATCATTAATTCATTTATGCACAAAAGAAGAAAAGATAATTCTAAGACCTTTCTATTTAGAAAGGTCTTTATCTTTGTATTTTTTTTTAAGTTTATATTTATTTGTCAGAGAGAGTGAGAGTGAGCACACAAGCAGAGGGAGCTGCAGGCAGAGGCAGAGGGAGAAGCAGACTCCCCACTGAGCAGGGATCCCGATGCAGGACTTGATCCCAGGACCCTGGGGTCATGACCTGAGCCAAAGGCAGACGTTTAACCGACTGAGCCACCCAGGCATCCCAAAGGTCTTTATCTTCTAAAATCATAATTAATTTGAATTAGAATCTAAACTTAAATACTAAAACTAATTTGAATTTTTTTTGTCATGATCACTCATCTTGAAAAGCCTTTAGAATTTATAGTTACAGGATATATACATTAAGCTTTCTAGGTCTAACTATCATAAAGGGGTTGTACAAATGAAGTTCAAGTATAATTTTATCACAACTAGATAGAGTATATTATAGTGTTTTTCTCTCTTTAGCTTTATTACTAAAATTTATTCATTTTATTTTATTTGAAGATTTATTTGAGAGAGAATGAGAGCAAGAGAGAGCGAGATTTTGAGCACACACAGAGGGAGAGAGAGAGAGAAAAAGAGAGAGAAGTAGACCCCCCTGCTGAGCAGGGAGCCCGATGCGGGACTCGATCCCAGGACCCCAGATCATGACCTGAGCCGATGACTGAGCCACCCAGGTGCTCCAATTTATTCATTTTAAAAAACTGTCCAGAGTCCCTTTGGTACTTAAACTAATTGAAGACTTATATTTGCAAAGCCTCAGGTGGGCTTTCATTAGCTAGAATTGAATCAGAAAGAGCGAGCAAGACCTAAAGACTTGATTAAAAACAGGAAACAAATTTTCCAAATAGAATATGGAATATATAACATTATTCTTCTGTAGAGGTGTTACCATTGCCCCTGTATTTCATGAATTACATCCCTGTCTCTTAAAGCCAGGCTCAAAGCCAAATCTGAGAATCTTGTGCTTTAACCCCTCCTCACCTGGTGACTGCTCTCTTTATTGTAGCATTCAGTCTGCACTTTTGCCACTTTGTGGCTGACAGATTGCTTCATAAAATGTTCTTGTTATTTCATTGTGTGTTGTCTCCCCAAGCAGCTTATGTAAGTATGACTTTGGGGACCAGGTACTATGTCGTATTTCTTTGGTAAACCCCTCAGATACCTTGTGGAGTGCTTATGATCTCTCATTTATACATCCAGGAGAAGATCTGTAATGGGGTGGGGTAACTCCTTAATTCTCAGAGAGTAAGAGTAAATGGACATTATTAGATTTTAACTCCTTCATTGCAAGGCTGGGTAATTTCAAGTGAATGGCCCTGATTGCAATGGTTAGAGAAGGGAACCTGACTTCGGTGTCTACTGAAGGAGGGGCCCCTTTGCTTGAAAAACTCTTTAATGAAAGAAAAATATGAGTAATATAATTCAGTTGACTTTTAATTAAACTCTGTAGCCCATACACTCTTCAGTTAGGTGCCTGTCAAACCAGTTATTTGCCAAAGTGGAAGTAGAAATAGTTTTTCATGCAAGGTTGGTGGTTTGCAAAAGCAGTGTTGATAATAAAGCCAGGAAATAGGACATTCATGCTGGTGTAATTTCCAGATTGGCCCCCAACTGCAGGAATCAAGAAAAAGAATTTTGATACAACAGAGGACTTAATGTGCTTGTAGTCTCCATTAGATTTACTGTTTGCTGGAAAGACACATATCAAAAATAGAGCATATGACTGTTTTTGATTCTTCTGTGAATAACCATCTCTTTAGAGACATAAAAAAGAAACTTAGTACAGAGCCCCACGCACTCCTCCTAAAATAAAAATTTCCTTATTTCAAGAACTATTTATTTGAAACAAAAGCCAGTCTTTAGGGCTGAAAACTTTAGGAACAAGTAAGATTGTGTTTTTGCCAGTCAACACTTGGAAGGTGTGTATGTAACACTGGCTGATGCTGAACTTACTCCCCTAAGAGTATGGTTCTCACTAGGAAAGTGGAAAGACTTGTTTGCCAGATGTTAGGAACTGAACATAGGCCTGTTCAAAATGGTAGCTTAAAACCATGTTTAAGGTTCTCACTGATGGAATATACCAGTGAAAGACTACAGAAGAAAGGAATAACAATTTGTAGGAATGCAAATAAAATAAAGGTTGGGAATCTACCTCCAGATCTCTAGATCTTGCCCAATTAGATTCATTCCACTTGCTTACTTTTAAGTTCTTTATTTGGAACTGGCCAGCACTTTCACAATTCTGTTGGTACTTATAATTTTAGCAGCCTTTAGTATGTTCCAGAGCAGTGCCTTTCAAAGTCTTTTGACTGCAATCCACAGTAAGAAATAACATTTTGCATAACCATTTAATATATGATATGCATGTCTGATGATTTCTACTTAAAAAATGCTGGTTATGACTCATTAATTTCATATCCCATTAATGGGTCAATACCTGCAGTAGAAAAAATGGCCTAAGATTCTGGTATTGCTGCATATATTACTAATTTTTTAATTTTTTCATAGTGTTTCCTCCTTCTCTTCTAGATCTAGGAGCTCAGGATGCTATTTCTTAACTTGTTGGAGCCATTACAGTTTTAACTTATGCTTTAAAACCTGGAGCATGTAAAGTGTTCCTAAGCCTGCCATGGTCTCATTTTCCTAGTACTTAAAGGTGTTTACTTTCTCTCTGGTACCCTCACTTTTCTCTTCCAAGGCCTCAGACCTTTCAGAATAAAGGATGAAGAGGAAACAGTTGAGAAAAAATAAATGTTTAAAATAATAACCCAGCTTCTGCTTATAGGAAATAATTGAAGTAGGACTTCTGTTCTTTTTGGAAACAAAGCCGGCTGAATTGCTGCAATGTAAAGGTTATGGACTTCCTGAAATGGAACATAAGAAGTACAAACATGCTTTCAAGTGTATTTAAGAAAATACAAAAGTTTCTTAAATCAGGTTGTATTTATTAAAAGCAGAATACAAAATACCTTGGGATTCAAAGGTTGCCTCTTACAATGTTTATTCCCTAACAGATTCTAAATAAAACAGTTAATCATTTCAAGGGAGGTAACAAAAGTTTTAAGAATTATACATCTGGTTGCAGACTGAGTTTATTCAAGCTCTGAGACCTCAGTTTGTTCCTCCAAGTTTTCAACCATTAATAGTCCAAAACGATTGCTTCCCTCATACAAGCATCTAGTGTCTGAGGTGGTTCCCACTCTGTTCTTTGACCAGCTGGTACTGTGTTTCTTTTGCCGCCTTTTTGAATTTGATTTACCCTTTGGTAGGAATAATTCAGCAGGGGCATATGACCTTGTGGCATTGAACAGATGTTCGTATAGTTGCTTTGCCTTAGGGCACATGCTCAGGAGACTTTCTACAGAAGCTGATGTTAGCAGTTGTTGGCATAGTCCATGCACCAGGCTTCCACTATAGAGTCTGTTCAACGGGAGAGAAAAGTGTGTTGGTAAAGCATAGGTTCAGTACAGAGACAACGGTCATTAACATTGGCTTCAACAAATGCGGCTAAACATTGAGAATTCTTCTTCTATAAAATTATTATTAAAATTACTTAAAAAAAACCTGTTCTTGAAGGAAGGAATGGAGTTGTTATTACAAACTTGGCTGATGATATTTAAAAACTTTATTATCAAAAAATGATAGATGCTTGCTAGTTCTGCAACCAGCCAAAAGTTGAGCAGGCCTCTTAACACTTCAAAGAAAAGGAATTAAAAATGTCCAATAAACCAAATAGGCCGTCTTTTGAAATATGAGAAAATTTAGTGGCATCATTTGCAAGTTCACTGATTGACTTGCACTGAGAACCTACTTCAGAAACATAAGATGGGATTAACTGGAAGCCACAAATTTAATATATAACTTAATGACAGAGTTGATCAACTGGTGCCTTAGCAACTGATATAGAACTGTCATTTAATCAGTGTAAGATCATCATTTAATAAGCTCTAGTAATGCTGAGAGGCAAGAACAGTCCTGCTGAAATCATGAAGAGAACTGTTCGGTCTTGTTTTTTCTCTGTTCTGTTGTAAAGGGATTTGTGGTAGCTAGAGAGGATCCAGTCAAGAATGACCTAAATTATTTAAGGAAAGGCATAAAGAATCCATAGGTCAAAGGCCAGTTAATCTTACTGTAGAAGGTTCTAGGGTTAGCTCAGCAGATATTAGGCCTAGGGATGTATTAACAATATTTACTGCTTAGGAAGCTTTATACCTTAAAACATTTAAAGTCACACCAGCATATTTTATATGCCTCCATTCATATATCACTCATTTATCTGACAAATATTTGAGTACTTACTATATGTTAGGCCCTGGGGCTACAAAAGTAAAGAAAATAGCTAAGTCCCTGTCCTCACAGAGCTTGCATTCAAGTGGGGAGAGACAAAGCATATCTATAATCTCAGCTCCATTTGCTAACAGTCTCCCCTTTATCTTCCTCCCTCCCTCTGGGATTTCCTGGATGGATAATCACCAGGAAGTCCCAACCCACTGAATGTAGTAGCACTTTTTCACTAGCCCACACTCTACTGCTGTCTTTCTTTCTTACCCAGCTTCAACTACATAGTCCAACATAATCACTTCCTGGCAACAGGCTGCCTCTCCCTTCTTCATACTTACCTGGCAAAACAAAAACCCTAAAGTTCACTGAAGCATCTAATAGTCATCTCACTAGAATAAAAGCTCCATGACAACAGAGATTTAAAAAATGTTTTGTTCACTACACTCTAGCACAGAGTAGGCATTTAATAAATATTTGAGTATGTGAACAGTATGCCAAGTGGTAAGAAATGGAATTTACAAAAATCCAAAAGAGTAATAGGATTAGAGTGACTGAAAGTAGAGAATTAATATTCCAGAAGGGTAATCAGAAAAAGCCTTAATAAAGTGATATTTGAAAAAGACCTGAGAGAAATGAAGGAATGAGTTATATCCTACCAACTGCCTCTTTTCTTACTTTACGGGGCTGGTTTTTTAATCTTTGATCTAATCATGGAAACTTTTTGGGAGTATGGAAAAAATTAGTATTTCTCCAGTTTCCAGCTCTTCGGCTATTATAGTGATCCAAGACCAATTATACTAAGATTAATTTTTTAAACATAACTTAATGTGCTTTAAGTATAAATAAAAGTATTTACTTCTGTGTGCAGCCATCTGAACTAGTTTCCCGTGGTGCTTACCGAGTTAGGTCTGGTTCCGGGAGAGGAGTGGACAGCAGCTGATTGAGATACATCCCCATCTGCAGACAGCACTGCCACTGACAGAAGATGTGAGCTGTGTCTAAGTCCAGTCTCGTGCCCGGCCGCGTCTGCTCCTTCACTCTTTGGAATTCTTCATACAGCATCCTAGCACCATCTTCCCGCAGATCTTCCTTATCTAGACAAAGAAACAACCCAAGGGCAGTATTTCCAAAAACACTGTATAGCTTGTAATTTTCTCTCTATATATAGGACTTCGAATTCCATAAAGAAAAAAAATTAGTTTAAATAACCAAAATGCTTTTCTCTTCTGGCTCTTTACTATTTTAATGTCAATGTGAAAGCCTTGCTGTGTAAATTGAAATATTTATACTGAAATGCCTTTTTAATGACAACCTAACTTTATTCAACCCCAAAGTACTTATTTTTTTTCCTTAAAATAATCTCTTCCACTGGTTTACTACCTGACCTTAAACATACATCTGCATCTGAACTCTCCAAACCTTAAATCTGTCTCTCTGAAAAATACAAATTACTATTAAATATCATTCTCTTCACTGTTCTCGTTCACTAAGTTTCCTTCCATGGAGGCCCCTACGCTATAGTGCACTTAACACAGCCTCTGTGTTCAAAGCACACTTTAACTTCTGCTTTGTGGGAGGAAAACAAAAGCATGACTCAAGGAGAATATGGTCAGTCATCTACTTCACACAGTAGAGAATAAGAGGCAAGAAGCAACAACCCTAGGAAACGAAGAGTGCTGCGTGTGTTCAACTGTAAAAGCTTCTGCACGTTTGCTTGTGCAGGGGCGTACAAAATGATACCGGACCAACTGGAAAGTAATAAAAAGGAGGCCCACCTTTGACCAATTAGCGAGCAGCAAGGCACTGAGCCTGCCTGGGTGCGGGGTCCACAATTCCTAAAAGAAAAGAAACAGACCCTTGACATGCCCCTTCTGTTGGACTCAGGTAAAAACTTCCCAGGCTTGTGCCCTGAGAATGTTCTTAAACTACAGTTATTATTCAATGAGAGAAAACTAAAAGAGGGCCTTCACTTGTTTGGCATTAAGTTGGCTGTCCTAGAACAATAGTGCCTTCTGACAACTACTCTCACACTTGGGGGTCCTGGAATCTAGACTAGTTCACTCTCATTTAACTTATTTTAAAAAGTAAACTCCAGAGTAGCACTATCCACCAGAACTTTCAGCAGTGATGGAAATGTTCTGTATCTGTGCTGTCCAATTCAGCCTCTAGCCACATGTGGCTACTGAGCACTTGAAATGTGTGTGGTGTCCAGGAGAAGCTGAAATTTTAATTTAAATAGCCACACATGACTAGTGGCCATTAGATTAGATATTAGCACTGTTCTGGAGTGTGACAATGATTATACATGTTTAGATAAAGTGTTAAAGCATTCATAATCTTTTAAAGGGAGTATTTCCACTAGAGAATTGAAGTGCTCCAGTGCATCCTCATTTATTTCACCTGATACTTGGATGCAGCTGAAACTGCCTTAAAGTGTGTTTCTATTATAGAAAGAAAAGTTACTATTTCTACCATCACTAACACACTAATTGAAACTTACAGTGGAGAAAAAGTAAAAACAAAACAAAACAGCACAAGCATGAATGTTTATTATGGTTGTAGGTATTCAGAAGTTTCACCAATGGACAATTTTAAATCGGTTTCTAGTGATGATGTTGCCACTCTATTGATAGGGCCAGGGTACACGGAATACAGAATGTAACGGGCACATTCTACATTCACACTTCATAGATTAAAGCATTAGGTGCCACAGAGCAGGTGGGACAGTACCCGCACATCTTCACTGCTGTGCCGTTGTAGTCAAGCTCTGCAGCACAGAGCCTGGCACACACAAGTGCTCAGAAACATCTGCCAATGAATGAGTGCTATTTTGTGCCTCTTCCTAAGTTCTGGATATAACTGATGGGAGTAAATAATCCAAAAATTTTTTTCATTTCTTTAAACTTGTGATTATATGCAAGTAACATGCAAATACATACTCCTGGAATTTCCAGATACCTACCAGGGCTGGTTATTATGGCATGCAAGGGCCCCATCAGCATCCCTAGCAGTAAGGCCTGCAGGTGATGTAGCTTTGCCTTGGACTCTGTGTGCTGCAACCAGTAGCAACTGACAGAAATGGGCAGCTTCAGTGAAGAAGGGATTGATTCCAGGACGGTCCGTTTCACCTTCAGGGTGTCTAACAGAAGTATCTGCCGTTTGGCCAGGGACAGCTGAAAATACATACCAAACATCCTCCAAGTTACTCTGGGGAATGTCTTTTTTTTTGTTTTTTTTTTCCCTAGTATGAAGAGACTTCAATGCAAATGATTTGCTCTGTCAGTTTATCATCTTCCCGTGGAAAGAAATCAGCCACATTCAAAGCATTGAAAACACTGGGTGCTTAATAAATATGGTTGAATGGATACATTGTCTACCCTCACTACACAGCCCTTGCTCATGTCATTCCATCGTCCATGTAGGCTGGTGAACATCTTCAGTGGATATATCACTTGGGAAGCTTGTTAAAAAATTCAGTCCTCAGGTCCCACCTCCTAAATTTTGATTCAGTAAATTTGTGAGGAACCCAGGAATCTGAATTTTAACTATTCTGCTTTGAGAAACAAATATCTATACTTAACCCTACTCTTACTTGCCAGTGAATATTGAGGCCCCACCTTCTTCATGGTGCCATTACCGATCACCTCTAGAAGGCAAACTTAGATTATATGCATATCATACAAGCTTCTGTTTGTTTGGGTCCTGTCTCATGTCCCTACCCGTAAGGTGAATGTTTATTATCTTTTTGTTTTCCCACACAGGGTAGCTGCTTGTAGGTGAGAGAGATAGTCAAGGGAGATGGTAATATTTAAGGACTACCTCACTGTGCTTGCAGTAACACACCACACTCACTTTTACTCCGTGCTTTAGAGTGCACTTCAAATAAAAGCAAGTTAACAGTTACGAGGGTTTCAGGCTTCTTGAAATAACTTTATCTTAATGAATCTTAAGAACCATAAGGGACCTTCTAGATCACACGCTTCTACAAATAAGGAAATTAGGACTATTAAAAGGGCACCTTCAGAAGAACTTTATGATCAAACTTTAAGAGAGAAAAAAGAGTTGTATTCCTAGTGTCTACATGCAGCCAGAAAATGATTTCTGTCTTAACTTTTCTGAAAGGATGCTCAGCATCTAAAACCTAGTTTGTAGTCAGTGTGTTGACAGCTGGGAATGGACATGTTAACCTGAAGTAAAACACACCATAATTGACAAAATAGTTTCATCACTGATGCATGAGAGTATTAAACATAATGATTTATAAATACTGGTTTTAAAATTCTGATACTGATAAGCTTTTTAAAACTAAAAATATGCAAAATGCTTTACAGTGTAATCAATCACTCCTATGGGAAGTAGCAATTAACTACTTAAATTTAGAGTAAAAAAAACTATGATCTCAACTGGTAGGAAAACACACCAAGTAAAGCTAAACATGAATTCTTTTCTGATATATAACGCTTAAATTATTGGATTCTCTAGCCAAGTTACAACTTTTATGAACAAAGTGGAGTTTGGGCTTTGACTTTAGAGGTGTTCTCTCACTAACTGTACAGCATTGGGCAAGTTTCTGAGCTTTTCTACAGTCTGATTATCTGTAAATGGGCTTATAATGAATTACACAAGATGTTTCATGAAATCCACCAGTTCTCAGCCCCTTCCAAAAGAGGAACTGCTGCTCACAGCCCTTAAATCTGGTTAGGTTTTACCCCATGTGACAACTCCTTTCCCTTACCCGGAGGTGAAGGAAAGCACAAACATGTAGAAGAAAACCCCACAGAGAAAGAGAGACACCCAGAGAGAGGCTGGTCTTGGCACTGTCTTACTCCCAAAGAATAATCCACTTCCATCTCTCCTTATGATTAACCTCTCATTGGTTAACTTGAGCGGAGCTCTATCCACTGCAACTAACAAAACCAAAATGGAAACCCTATCCTACAGTGGTTACTGTGGGAATTAAATATAAAGTTTCTATTACAACAGCTGGCACAAGGCAGATCAAGTATTATTACTACCTCTAAGTGAACAGATAGCTATCACAAAATTTCTGTTTGTATACCTGCATTTGTCTTTGGAATCACATTTGCTCCTGATACCATTTAGAATTATCATGGGCGAATTAGAGTTAGCAACATTGAGCTAAATAAAGAATTGATGAGTTTATGCCTAGGGAAAGCTGAAAGATCTCACCACACAGAAAGTGAACTAAAATTTCACACTATTTTGAATACAGGTAAGGGATGAGAACACTTGTCATCTCCACTTAGCAAGGAGTATAATCATCATGCTACACTCATTGACTCAACTGGATTTTTATATGGGGGAAAACGTGTCCTGATCCCTATGTCACACCATACACAAAAGATCAGTTGTAGATAGATCACAGATCTAAATATAAAAGGCAAAAAAACTGTCATGACCTTGAAGTAGGCAGTAATTTTCTAAGTAGGTCACAGAAAATGATAAATAATAAAAAAATTGGACTATATTAAAAACTTCTGTTCATCAAAATATACTAGAATGAAAAGAACCTACAGAATGTGAGTCTGTTTACATGTTATTTGACAAAGCACCCATATATAGAAATAAAAAGCCAACAGAAAAATGGGCAAAAGACTTTGAACAGGAAATTATGTAACAATATCCAAATGGCCAATGGGCACATAAAAGGTGCCCAAATAAGTCATCGGAGAAATGCAAATTAACACCCACCAAATTGGCTAAAATGATGCCACTATACAAACATCAGAATAGCTAAAAAAAATTTTAAAGGATAAAAAAGTGTCAGGAAGGGAGTAAATTAAGAGGAACCCTCATAAGCTGCTGGTGGGAATATTAATTGGTTAAACCACCTTGCAAGACCTTTGGCAATATATCTTGTAAACTGAACATACGCATATCTTCTGACCTAACAATGCCACTCCTAGTGGTATATGCAATAGAAATGTGTCCATATTTTCAATAAATGATGTGCACCAGAATGTTCATAGCACTATTCATAATTGCCCAAACTGCAAACTACCCAAATGCCCATCACCTGCAAAATGGATAAGTCAACTGTGGTGTATTCCCACATAGCAATGAGATATAAATGATCTACAGCTTCTCACAGTGATGTGAATCTCACAAACATGTTGAATAAAAGAAGCCAGATGAGAGAATTCATATTATATGATCCCATTTTTATAAGATACAAAAAGTTAAAACTATTCAATGTTATTACAGGCCTGGATAGTGATTACAGGAGGTGGGAGGGGAGCGCTTGAACCAGACATTAGGAAAAGCTGTTGGGGTGCTGATAATGTGTCTTCATCTGGGCGTTTTTTACATGGAAGTGTCGAGTTGGTGAAAATTCATCAAGCTATACAATCGTCTGTGTACTTTGCTATGTGTACATACTCAGGGAGGGATGAATTGCAAAGAGGCAAGGGGAAACTTTTAGGAGTGATGCATACATTCATTATTTTAATTGCAAGATGGATTCACAAATGTAAACAAACTCATCAAAACGCACACTTTAAATATGGGCACTTCACAGTACGTCATTTCTCGATAAAGCCATAAACTTTTTTTTTTTAAGATTTTATTTGACAGATATAGTGAGAGAGGGACCACAAGCAAGGGGGAGTGGGAGAGGGAGAAGCAGGCTTCCCGCTGAGCAGGGAGCCCGGTGAGGGGCTCTATCCCAGGACCCTGGGATCATGACCTGAGCCGAAGGCAGACGCTTAACAACTAAGCCACCCAGGTGCCCCCATAAAAAGTTTGAAAAACTCTCCAACACAGCACCATTTATGTTGTGAGGAGAAATAATTTTAACAAAATATCATCATTTAGAATGTTGCTAATTTCAATTTTATTGGTATAGGTAAAGTTTTAATAAATCCCTTCTGTTTGGAATTTGACCTATGCTCAACTTTCTACTTCTGTAACCCTGGAAACGTGATAAAGTTAGTTGTTTTACTTAGCATGGTAAGAATGACTCTTGGAAAACTGCATCTGGATTTGAACTATAAATGAACTGTAAACACCAGATGGGGACATCATATCATGGGGCTTCCCTGAGCACAGTGACCTATATTTAGGCATGGCCCTGCAGGGAGCCTGGAAGCTATGTTTATGGAATTGTTACAAAAAAGGAGGGGGAAGGAGGCCAGTGAGACCTTTTCTTTCTTTAACTGAGATATAATTCACATGTTATAAATTCACCCTTTTATTTATTTTTATTTATTTATTTTTTTTTAATTTTTTTATTTAATTTTTTATATTAATGGGTCTTGCTGCTTTTTGTTTGTTTTAAGATTTTATTTATTTATTTGACAGAGAGAGACACA